ACTCTTCTCACCACTTCCATATCCATAGAAATTATATGCTTTATAAAAAACCAAACCCGTTGCCGTTGGGCCAAGCCTACACTATAGGGTTTCTAAGTAGCGGCTGGTGGATTCGAACTGCCAACCTTTTGGTTAGCAGCCAAGCTCTTTAACCACTGTGTCACCAGGGCTCCATCTGCTTTATAGTTTATATATAATTACAATTATTCCTTGTTTAAAATGAGTCCACAAGTCCTTTCAAATCCTTGCAGGGCTACCTGAGGGCAGTCTTTTTTTTTTTAATTTTAAGAAAGAACATGCTGGACATGAAGTTTACAAATTAAACACAGTCATTTAAAATTTTATTTTATTTAAACCTGTAAGTATTGCTATTTGTTTGAATTGCTCACATAAATCCATTCCATCCAAAAAAGGAAACATAAAGTGCTTCTCGGCAGTGCAAACACAACTAGCGTGGCCCACCTAAAGATCCTCCACTAGATTCTGCAGAAAATCTAAATGTAGTTAAACCATAAACCTGATGTTTTTATTCTTAGAACCACAAGACATTTTCAAATTCACTTTGATTTTTAAAACCAATCAGATGTCAATCATGGCAGGGAAATCCATCAAGCTGATTTCTGATAACCAAGTTATGTTATCAATGAACATAATTTAAAATGAATGATTAATGGCAGCATGGAGACCTTGGGGTGGAAACTTCACGAGTAACAGAAGCACCACTTCTACAGGAATAACTGGGGTGTCCCCAGAGGAGTCAGCGCTACAGACTTCCTCCACTGCTTCTTCCCTCACTGTGTACTCAGACCTGGGAGCTGGGATGACAGTGCTCAAAGTCAACAAAGGTTTTTACAGAAGACTAGTGAAGGAAGAGTTGTGAGGTACCAAGTTTTGACACAATCTAAATACTAAAAATGGTGATGAGATCTTGAGTACTTGAATCTATTTACATTGCCTTCAATTCATTATTTTACATGCCTAGCCTGCACTCTTTCTCAGAGGACAGTTGTGAGGATTAAATGAAATAAAGTATGGAACACCCTAGTCTAGTGTCTGGGTACCCAGTAAACATTATTCCTTCCCAACCCACCCCCCATCCTAAAATAAATGAGGTTAGTCCTTGAACTCTGGAAGAACTTCATAATGAAAATAAATTAGTTTTTCCATCAGCATCCTTGTCAGCATAATACTGAATTGCTCTCAAGAGTACACTCTCTTTTGTAAAAATAAACACTTTATACTGTTTGAAGTATACACAACGTTTCATTTTTGTTCAGTGTTCCTTACTTTCCATTGTGAGGAGTTATTTCTGAAAAATTGAAACCCCAGAAGATAACACAACAAAAACATGTTCAATGTTTTTTTTGAAAACGGTGATTCAAAGGCAGGCTTGAAGAGAAGTCATAGGAATAAAAGACAGTAAATGCAGCCTCTGAAGGGAACTGTTCTAATTATTACCTGAAAAAGTAAAGTTATACAATTACATTCAAGGACATTAAGTTAAAGCAATACTTTAAAACCAACTTACC